TACTGTACCTCTCGAATAAAACCAGCTTGCAATAGCTTATCCACCTCTACTTTTGCTACTTCCTGGCTTTCGGGGGCGAGGTTCCTTTTCTTCCACTTCACTAGTTTAGTTCCAGGTAAGACATCGAGGTGGTGTTGAGCAATTGCTGGCTGATCCCGACAATGTCGTTTGGGCTCCAAGCGAAAACATCTAGGTTGTCTGCAAGGCATCTTACCAACTTTTCCTTTTCGTCAGGTTCCAAACCAATCCTAATGATAAACTCCCGTCCTTTCGATACGGTGATTTTTTCAACCATTTCAAGTGGTTCGATTCGTCCTTTTGGAGGTTCAACTTCCAACATCATGACTAGTGGGGCTCTTGACTGATAAGTTGTCCACATAACATTTTCTGGATGCTTGTTGGTCTCCTCACACATACCTGACTCCTCTGCTAGTTAGAAATTTCATGACCTAGTGATAGTTTGAGGGGATGGACCCAGCTACATTCAATAATGGTCGACCATAGATTGTATCGTAGGCCATAGGAGTTTTAACAACTAAGAAGCTCGCCACAATTTCCACAGTGGTCGGACCTGTGCTGAGCATGACAGGAAGCTCCACAGTTCCTTCCGAAATTACCATGGCCCTTCCAAAGCCTTGTAGGGGATACTTACTGGTTTCAACTTGTCCTGAGAGATCTTTTAAGCCCAAGAAAACATCCCATGTAAGTACATTTGCTGCGTTTCCTCCATTAACTAACACCCTCTTGACATCAAAATTAGCTATGTCGCATATTATTACCAGAGCATCATCATGAGGCGTGAGACGCCTACCAAATCATCCTCGCCAAAAGTGATGTTCTGACTAAACCTCTCCTTTTTTTTTGGATTAAACAGATCCCGAGAGAACATGTGTAGCTTTTCCTTGCCAAGTTTGAATCTCCGCCTCCTGTTATCCCCCCTCCAATTATGTTTATCACTTCGACTCTTGGTGGGGAGCGACCCTCTATTTTTTGTTTCCCCCAGTTATCCTTTACATATTTGCTCAAGAGCCCCTATCTTAGGAGGTGCTCGATTTCCTCCTTTAGCTGTAGGCACTCTTCAATATCGTGCCCATGATCCTTGTGGAAATGGCAATATCTTCCCTAGTTTCTTTTGCCGGCTGGCATTACCATGGGTCTTGGCCATTCAAGCTCCTTCATGTCTCGTATTTCCATCAACAGCTTAGCGCGCAGAGTGTTTAAAGGGGTGAACTCCCTGGACTCCTCTCGTTTCTGTCTGGCTTATTGGTCTTGGGTTGCTCCCTTACCCGTTTGCTCACTCATTGGCCTATTTTTATTGACAGACCTTAGCTCGTCTCCTGCCTTTCGCTTGTGACTCCCTACTTCCCATCCCTTTATGAGGTTTTTTGTGACTTTCTCTGCCTCCTCAGTATCACCATATTTGTCTCCTTTTTTCGATAGGTCGTACATTGATTCCGGGGGATTTTTGGAAAATGACATCTTAAAGGCCCAATTCCGAGTTTCGTTTATCAATGCGATCACCACTACTGACATTTGAAAGTCCTCTATTCCAAGGGTTGCTCGGCTAAATCTGGCCAAATACTCTTGCAGAGACTCATCCATCTCCTGGACCACCTACATCAATCTGATGGCCGTCTTTCTCTTTCTTTTTCTACTGAGGAAGTAGGCCACAAAGCTCCTAAAAAGTTCATCAAATGTTGGGATAGATCGGGGGCAAGTGTTGCCACCCAGTCTCTAGCTTCTCTCCTAAGGGTCGGGGAAAAGATCGGCACATCGCTGCATCAGGTGCTGCATAGAGCCTTATTAAATCAACGAAGGTCCGGAGATGATCAAGTGGATTTGTAACCCTATCGTAAGCTTTTATCATAGGCTACTTGAAGCCCTTAGGCAAGGGAACCGCCATGATTTCAGGCGCGAATGGGTCCTCTTCTAAGACCATCTGCCTTCGATTATCCTTTCTCCTTGATATTGAATCATCTATTTTTCTGCATCACGATCTCCTCCATCCTCCACTCTAGATCCGCCATGGGTAGGATGGGCTGCAAGACCGTAACCCCTGGAGCCCTTGAGCCTGCAGTTACCGGTTGGATGACAGGTGGTGTTTCCGCCTCCTGAGGTGGTGGCCCGGCTTCCATCGAATGCAGTGGGAGGGCGGCTCTCTGCATTTGATCCTGCAAGAGGGCTATCATAGCCACTCACTAGGTCTCCAAGGCGCTAAACTGGCTTTGTGTCACATACTACGGCAGCGATGGCGGGTTGAGGCCCTGGCAATTGATTCTAATTCTGTCTCCGGCGTTGCTGTTCTCAAGCGCGTATCACTTTTTGTCCGTCTTCTTGACATGGCTCTGGTGTTCAATGGAAGAAATTTCCCATAGACAGCGCCAATGAAATGGTGGAGAAAAGATACCTCCTTGTACACCTATTGACCCTTGGCGTTTTACTGTTCCGATCAGTGTTTATGACCTAAAAAATGAAGGGTGGGCTTTGTCTCTCGTTTTACCTCCGGTGTGAGAATTAGTGTATGTATTAGAAGAGATTCAGACGGAATTTAGATGGCTAAAAAAATGTCATTCCCCTTACCTGTGTTGCCTTCGGGGATATTTATAGGTGCTGGAAATCAGTTGAGTGCTGGGCGATCATGGTACCACGTGTCCCACGTTGGCTTTCCCACTACCCCACGTTCTGGGTGGGAGGTCTCTAACTTCCCGTCTGGAGGTTGTGCCCCTAATAACCGCCATGGAGTTTTGTCAATTTACCTGAGATTTTTTGAGTAAGTGTTGGGGTGGCCACATAGGTAACTTACAGGGGTAGACGGTCTCGTGTAAAGGTAAAGCGCCCCCGAGAGGTCGATAGCCTCGCGTAGAGATAGAGCGCTCCCGAGGGGTCAATGGCCTTGCATCGGCATGTAATGACCCGCCTCGTTCGTCATTAGGGATGGTTCTCTAGGCTAACTTACATCATGTTTTAATTCTTAAACAAGGTATTCTTAATCATTCAATTTATTCGAACCCTGGTTGTAATTCGTTATTCAATAAAGATTTGAGAATTAATTTTTTATCTAATGAGATCAAGCTCTCGAACTTCTTTTAAAGCAAGATCAGTAGCTGCCCTCTCATTCACATATTTTTTCAAAAATAAAATTTTTCATTTTTTTTTGGCCTTACCTAGGCAAGACTCTGTGTCAATTTTATAGCACCAATTTTACCCTATGTCATGCTAAGTCCAATGTTAACAGGAGTATCAAGTAGGGTGAGCCAATGAATCGAGTTATGGTACAAATAGAGCTGAATCTTTCTCATGAAAGCTACGTATGGATTCGTATGGATTAACTCATCCGAAAGTTGAGAAACCAAAAAATATAAAAAATAAAAATAAAAATTGAACTTTTTATTTAAAAAAATGTACGAGCCATGAGGGCTCATGAGCGAAGGTTTTTTTTTTTTTTTTTTTTTTTTTTTTTTGTGAGACGAGCCAACTTTTGCTCAAGAGGATAGATTTGTTTACTATCGTAGTCTAAAAGCTTGTTTGGCATAGAATTTTTCAAGAGATAGTTGTTGTTATTATTATTATTATTATTGAAAATGTTTGGTTGAATAATAATAAATAGTTATAAATTTTATAAAATGTGTGGTTAAAAATGAATTTTTTTAAAAATATGTGCTAAAACCGTAAAATAGATGTGTTAGTGTGACAGTGTCAAGCATAGTTATAGACGCTGTAAGACTTGCATTTACTAGTGGGTTACACTCGACCCATGCAGAAAGTGTGAGGACTAGGCTAGACAAAATAATTAAACCTTGCTGTTTTTCGTTTTTGGAGTTGTCTTAAAAAATAATAATAATAAATAAAATTCTAATCTTGTAAAAAAAAAAAATAATAATAATAATAATTAAAAAGGGACTAAGTTCCATTGTATACCTCTAGTCTATGGTTACGACTTGACAAAGATCAGGAATCATTTTATTTTTATCTCTATGTAAGATCCATAGTTTCTATATTTTTTAATCAAGGTCAAAAGTAAGGTCAAGAAATAGCTCTTTTATTTCGTAAATCAGGTATTTTTAACCATTCGGTTTATTCGAACTTTGGTTGTAATTCTCTCATTCAATAAAGCGTTCACAATTTAAATCAATTTATGGGGGTGTCCTCAATTAAGATTTTGATGAATTTTAAAAGATTACAAATCCTAATGAATTTTGCGGATTTGAATAAAATTCAACAAATTCCATAAGAATCCCATCAAATATGGTGAAATTTTAAAAGATTTGGTTATATCTATTTTTAAGCTTCAAATTCACCCAAATCTATAAAAATTATTCTATTAATGAAACTTTTATAAATGCACCGGTTATTGATGATACCTAAATTTTATACGATTTCATTGAATTTCATTAAAATCTCGATTGATTTTAATGAATTTATTAAAATCTCAATTAAAGATATCTAAATTTAATTTAATTTTTTTTTTTAAATTCATCACAATTTCAATTCAAGAGACCGTTGCACCATTTAAGATAGGCTTATTTTGCCATCTTTGCAGTTTGCAAGCATCCTTGAGAAACCGAAAACCTCAGCCAAGGCGGTGAGATAGATTTGAACTAAATCTCCTTACTGTCGCTGATCTTCATCTTTAACTCCAGCTACAGTCCAACGATTTCTTCCGGTAATTCTTCTCTCTTTACGCTCTATCCACTACAATGTTTGCGTCTCTCTCTCTCTCTCTCTCTCTCTCTCTCTCTATCTATATATATATATTTAGAGTGTGCATGTGTGTATTGCGGGTTAAGTTATTGATGGTTACATTATGAATTTGTTTTATGAGGGATTAAAGTAGCTTTTGGGGGTTGCCCATTTTTGAATCTTTGAACCGTTGCAGAAAGAATTTGATCTTAAGGACCTGTGATTAGTCAATCAGTGATGAGTTTCTTAGTCAATATTGAAATGGAAGAATGAAAACTTTCATTGAAACAAATGAGTTACACACCGTGAGTATAAATACAATGATTACCGTCCCTCTCAAATTTGGAGCACTGATTTTTTACATTTTAATCAGTTTTCTTACGACCTCAAAATCTGTCAATGAATTCTCTTACAATGGATTTCGATCGGCAAATCTGAGCCTCGACGGCATAGCAAAGATCACGCCCAACGGTCTCCTGAAACTAACCAATTTCACCACACTACAGAAAGGTCATGCCTTTTACCCTGATCCCATTATATTCAAGAATTCCTCTTATGCCTCAGCCTTTTCCTTTTCTACATACTTTGTTTTTGCAATGGTGTCTGGCTATGAGAATTTGGGTGGTCAGGGAATTATTTTCGTGCTTTCGCCGAGCAAAAGATTTGAAAGAGCCAGTTCGGGATTATACTTCGGCCTACTCAATCAAACCAACAATGGCAATTTTTCCAACCATATTTTTGGAGTGGAACTCGATTCATTGAAAAATGTCGAAGTTCAAGATATCGACGACAACCATGTTGGTATTGATATTAATGGAATGAAATCTGTATCTTCAAATACAGCTGGGTATTGGGATAGTGAAGATTTGTTTCATAATTTGACACTTAACAGTGGGCAACCAATGCAACTTTGGGTTGAATATGACGGTACAGAAAAGCAAATCTCTGTTACATTAGCTCCACTGAATTTTTTTGTGAGACGAGCCAACTTTTGCTCAAGAGGATAGATTTGTTTACTATCGTAGTCTAAAAGCTTGTTTGGCATAGAATTTTTCAAGAGATAGTTGTTGTTATTATTATTATTATTATTGAAAATGTTTGGTTGAATAATAATAAATAGTTATAAATTTCATAAAATGTGCGGTTGAAAATGAATTTTTTTAAAAATATGTGCTAAAATCGTAAAATAGATGTGTTAGTGTGACAGTGTCAAGCATAGTTATAGACGCTGTAAGACTTGCATTTACTAGTGGGTTACACTCGACCCATGCAGAAAGTGTGAGGACTAGGCTAGACAAAATAATTAAACCTTGCTGTTTTTCGTTTTTGGAGTTGTCTTAAAAAATAATAATAATAAATAAAATTCTAATCTTGTAAAAAAAAAAAATAATAATAATAATAATTAAAAAGGGACTAAGTTCCATTGTATACCTCTAGTCTATGGTTACGACTTGACAAAGATCAGGAATCATTTTATTTTTATCTCTATGTAAGATCCATAGTTTCTATATTTTTTAATCAAGGTCAAAAGTAAGGTCAAGAAATAGCTCTTTTATTTCGTAAATCAGGTATTTTTAACCATTCGGTTTATTCGAACTTTGGTTGTAATTCTCTCATTCAATAAAGCGTTCACAATTTAAATCAATTTATGGGGGTGTCCTCAATTAAGATTTTGATGAATTTTAGAAGATTATAATACTAATGAATTTTGTGGATTCGAATAGATTTTCACAAATTCCATAAGAATCTCATAAAATATAATGAAATTTCAAAAGATTTGGTTATTTGTATTTTTTAACTTGAAGTCCATCCAAATCTTTTAAAAACTCTCTATTAATAAATTTTTTATAAATCAACAAATTATTGATGATACCTAAATTTTAAAAAATTTCATTAAAATCTCAATTGGGGGCACCTAATTTTAATGGATTTTAAATCCATTAAAATCTTGATTGAAGATATAGAATGATTTTTAAGATCCATTACAATTTCAATTGAGAATAACCCGTAATTTAATTTATATAATGAGATGAAGCTCTTGAGCAACATAAGGCAAGCTCACTAACTTCTCTCTCTTTCGCATATTTGTTTGCCAAATTTTTGCTTCTTGGGCCTACTCGTCCGAAAGTCGGAATAAAAATTAATTCTAAATAGAAAAATAAAAAAATGTGCATCCTCATGTTCCTGTGAATGGTTTGACATAACACCCCTATTCACGTGTAGTCACTTTCAGTTCTCCTAAATTTCCTTGTTCATGTTCCTACATTGATGTGCATATTTAACATATTATAGAAATTTAAATTGTTAAATGTAACAAGCCAGTTATAGGCTATAATTATTGCTTCCGCATACAATGCCTCGACAACACGTTGAGTATGTAATATTAATTAGACGGTGTTCGACAAGTATTAGTCGTGTCTCAGTTCTCATCACAAAACATGTCATTAAAGTTCAAAATGCAAGGCGAGTTAACAAATTTCTTTTTTTTTTTAATTATATATTAAGAAAATGGTTAAAACTTAAAATTCAAAAACAAAATTTTTCTACTACACCTAAATTCAATTCTCACTTAGTGATGACAATTTACCCCGAACCCGCCCCGTAATTTTTTTTTTAATATATAAAAGGTTAGGGTTCAACTTGCTTCAAATAGAAGAATGGCCTATTTTCTAGTATCCTCAATTGTACAAATCTTATCAAACTTGACTAATTTATATATATCATTATGTTACTTTGTCAAATTGATATTATATTGATAAAAACAAATATAAAAAGATATAATATGTTCAACTAAATAAATTTAAAAATCTATATATTGTCATAAATTAAAGTGTGTGGGGTTACAACTTTTGTGATAATATCAAAGGCAAAAAACACAAAAAAACCTTGTTCATTATAATAATTAATGTTGTATACCAATAGGGACAATTATATTTAAGATTTGTAGTATTTATTTTGAATATTAATTTTGTCAGATTGAATATTATCCATATTTTATTGAACTTAAAAAAAATTTAAAAAAAAAATAAACGGGGCAATCACAATGGTGTCTGGCTATGAGAATTTGGGTGGTCAAGGAATTATTTTCGTGCTTTCGCCGAGCAAAAGATTTGAAGGAGCCAGTCCGGGATTATACTTCGGCTTACTCAATCAAACCAACAATGGCAATTTTTCCAACCATATTTTTGGAGTGGAACTCGATTCATTGAAAAATGTCGAAGTTCAAGATATCGACGACAACCACGTTGGTATTGATATTAATGGAATGAAATCTGTATCTTCAAATACAGCTGGGTATTGGGATAGTGAAGATTTGTTTCATAATTTGACACTTAACAGTGGGCAACCAATGCAACTTTGGGTTGAATATGACGGTACAGAAAAGCAAATCTCTGTTACATTAGCTCCACTGAATGATTCCAAGCCAAATAGAACTCTTCTGCAGATATCCTATGATTTATCACACGTCTTAAAACCAACTATGTTTGTTGGCTTCTCCTCTGCAACTGGCCCTATTCAAATAACTTCCCATTATGTTCTTGGATGGAGTTTCAAGATCAATGGTATGGCTCAATCACTTGAGAGGAGTAAAAGTCATGTGGGAACCTGGGAACCAACAAGGGCACAACCTGCTATTTACCTCCACTAGTCACTGAGGGGTCGGGGGCTAGAGGTCCAGGATTTAGTTCGGCTAAGCTGGGACATCTTTGGGTTATTAAAAAAAAAAATAAAAAAAAAATAGGCGAATATTCCTATATATACAAGCCTCTTGACTACACATACGGCAATATGACGTGCATATGGGGAGAGATCTTCAGAAACTGGCCGCTCTGAATTTACAATGTATTTAGAGATTTTCTCTCTCATCCGTCCTGCTTCTTCCTTTCGCCATATGGGGAGTAGTTTGTTATGTCACTAGGGTGAGGAAATTTGCAGAAGTTCTTGAAGAGTGGGAGCGGGATTACTCACCTCAGAGGTTCAAATTTAAAGATTTGTACAAGGCCACTAAAGGGTTTAGAGATAAGGAGATACTGGGTAGAGGAGGATTTGGAAAAGTATACAAAGGTGTGATGCCTAGGTCTAAATCTGAGATTGCTGTTAAGAGGGTGTCTCATCTCCCTCTCAAATTTGGAGCACTGATTTTTTACATTTTAATCAGTTTTCTTACGACCTCAAAATCTGTCGATGAATTCTCTTACAATGGATTTCGATCGGCAAATCTGAGCCTCGACGGCATAGCAAAGATCACGCCCAACGGTCTCCTGAAACTAACCAATTTCACCACACTACAGAAAGGTCATGCCTTTTACCCTGATCCCATTATATTCAAGAATTCCTCTTATGCCTCAGCCTTTTCCTTTTCTACATACTTTGTTTTTGCAATGGTGATTGGGACCAAAGATTTCGAGTCATCAAAGGTGTAGCATCTGGATTACTTTACCTACACGAAGAATGGGAGCAAGTCGTGATCCACCGAGATATAAAGGCGAGTAACGTTTTATTGCAATGGTGTCTGGCTATGAGAATTTGGGTGGTCAGGGAATTATTTTCGTGCTTTCGCCGAGCAAAAGATTTGAAAGAGCCAGTTCGGGATTATACTTCGGCCTACTCAATCAAACCAACAATGGCAATTTTTCCAACCATATTTTTGGAGTGGAACTCGATTCATTGAAAAATGTCGAAGTTCAAGATATCGACGACAACCATGTTGGTATTGATATTAATGGAATGAAATCTGTATCTTCAAATACAGCTGGGTATTGGGATAGTGAAGATTTGTTTCATAATTTGACACTTAACAGTGGGCAACCAATGCAACTTTGGGTTGAATATGACGGTACAGAAAAGCAAATCTCTGTTACATTAGCTCCACTGAATGATTCCAAGCCAAATAGAACTCTTCTGCAGATATCCTATGATTTATCACATGTCTTAAAACCAACTATGTTTGTTGGCTTCTCCTCTGCAACTGGCCCTATTCAAATAACTTCCCATTATGTTCTTGGATGGAGTTTCAAGATCAATGGTATGGCTCAATCACTTGATCTCTCTCGACTTCCTAAACTGCCTCGTGTTGGTCCCAAGAAGATATCGAAGGTTTTAACCAATGGAGGGTGTGATGGTGTCCCCTTGTGGTCGTATCCTTCTTCTACTACTTCTCAAACGGTATTTACACAAGCTTCCTCGGTTTCAAATTTTCTCCTATCTGGAGGCCGATGAAAATATTATGCGTTATAATACTGTGATAAGTTCACTTGTGTAACCATATGGGGAGTGGTTTGTTATGTCACTAGGGTGAGGAAATTTGCAGAAGTTCTTGAAGAGTGGGAGCGGGATTACTCACCTCAGAGGTTCAAATTTAAAGATTTGTACAAGGCCACTAAAGGGTTTAGAGATAAGGAGATGCTGGGTAGAGGAGGATTTGGAAAAGTATACAAAGGTGTGATGCCTAGGTCTAAATCTGAGATTGCTGTTAAGAGGGTGTCTCATGAATCAAGACAGGGGATGAAAGAATTTGTGGCAGAAATTGCAAGCATGGGTCGACTACGCCATCGGAATTTGGTGCCTCTATTGGGATACTGTCGGCGTAAAAGTGAACTTCTGTTAGTCTATGAATACATGCCGAATGGAAGCCTAGACAAGTTTATCCATGACCAGCCTAAGTTTACTCTCAGTTGGGACCAAAGATTTCGAGTCATCAAAAGTGTAGCATCTGGATTACTTTACCTACACGAAGAATGGGAGCAAGTCGTGATCCACCGAGATATAAAGGCGAGTAACGTTTTATTAGACGGGGAAATGAATGGAAGATTAGGTGATTTTGGGCTTGCAAGATTGTATGATCGTGGGGCAGACCATCAGACGACTCATGTGGTTGGGACACTAGGGTACCTTGCCCCAGAGCAAAATAGAACAGGAAAGGCCACAACAAGCACTGATGTTTATGCTTTTGGGGCATTTTTGCTTGAGGTTGCCTGCGGGAGAAGGCCAATAGATCCCAAAGCTGCCTCTAATGATCTAATATTGGTAGATCAAGTGTTTTCCTACTGGAACGAAGGTGACATTTTCCAGGCAGTCGATCCAAATTTATGTAATGATTACGTAAAAGAGGAGATGGAAACAGTGTTGAAGCTTGGTTTGCTATGTTCTCATTCAGAGCCAAAATTTAGGCCTAGCATGCGTCAAGTTATGTTGTATCTGGAAGGCGCATTGGCTCCGCCAGAATTGTCTGCAAGTGGCCTAAAATTGACACAACATAATGGAGGGTGTGATGGTGTCCCCTTGTGGTCGTATCCTTCTTCTACTACTTCTCAAACGGTATTTACACAAGCTTCCTCGGTTTCAAATTTTCTCCTATCTGGAGGCCGATGAAAATATTATGCGTTATAATACTGTGATAAGTTCACTTGTGTAGAGGGTATTTTCTTCCTCATACTGTATTTGGTTTCTTGCTGCTCCTTGTATCAGTAATTTCCATGGGTTCTTGAAATGTCATCTCTACATCGCTCTTATCTAAATTCGAAAATTGGGAGCGGGATTACTCACCTCAGAGGTTCAAATTTAAAGATTTGTACAAGGCCACTAAAGGGTTTAGAGATAAGGAGATGCTGGGTAGAGGAGGATTTGGAAAAGTATACAAAGGTGTGATGCCTAGGTCTAAATCTGAGATTGCTGTTAAGAGGGTGTCTCATGAATCAAGACAGGGGATGAAAGAATTTGTGGCAGAAATTGCAAGCATGGGTCGACTACGCCATCGGAATTTGGTGCCTCTATTGGGATACTGTCGGCGTAAAAGTGAACTTCTGTTAGTCTATGAATACATGCCGAATGGAAGCCTAGACAAGTTTATCCATGACCAGCCTAAGTTTACTCTCAGTTGGGACCAAAGATTTCGAGTCATCAAAAGTGTAGCATCTGGATTACTTTACCTACACGAAGAATGGGAGCAAGTCGTGATCCACCGAGATATAAAGGCGAGTAACGTTTTATTAGACGGGGAAATGAATGGAAGATTAGGTGATTTTGGGCTTGCAAGATTGTATGATCGTGGGGCAGACCATCAGACGACTCATGTGGTTGGGACACTAGGGTACCTTGCCCCAGAGCAAAATAGAACAGGAAAGGCCACAACAAGCACTGATGTTTATGCTTTTGGGGCATTTTTGCTTGAGGTTGCCTGCGGGAGAAGGCCAATAGATCCCAAAGCTGCCCCTAATGATCTAATATTGGTAGATCAAGTGTTTTCCTACTGGAACGAAGGTGACATTTTCCAGGCAGTCGATCCAAATTTATGTAATGATTACGTAAAAGAGGAGATGGAAACAGTGTTGAAGCTTGGTTTGCTATGTTCTCATTCAGAGCCAAAATTTAGGCCTAGCATGCGTCAAGTTATGTTGTATCTGGAAGGCGCATTGGCTCCGCCAGAATTGTCTGCAAGTGGCCTAAAATTGACACAACATGATGGAGGGTGTGATGGTGTCCCCTTGTGGTCGTATCCTTCTTCTACTACTTCTCAAACGGTATTTACACATGCTTCCTCGGTTTCAAATTTTCTCCTATCTGGAGGCCGATGAAAATATTATGCGTTATAATACTGTGATAAGTTCACTTGTGTAGAGGGTATTTTCTTCCTCATACTGTATTTGGTTTCTTGCTGCTCCTTGTATCAGTAATTTCCATGGGTTCTTGAAATGTCATCTCTACATCGCTCTTATCTAAATTCGAAAATTGCATGTATTTTAGACAACATCCTTAGTGATCCAAACTAATACACATGTATTTCAGACTTGTCACGTGAAAAATAAATAGGGCGAGATACAGTATTATAGAAAGTAATACTGTCCAAAAAAGCTTAACTTCTTTGGTTCTTCTATAAAAGAATCAAACAGAGCCATGATCTGTATGTTGTTCTTGGGGAAGAGAGATATTTGAGAATATTGGAGAATATATTATGACATGATTTGGAGGATACTGGATATTGGAGAATATATAGTGGGTGATTTGGTTGATCACAATTGGAATACCTCTATGATTTGATTATCTTATTTCCTTGATTGCTTCATCCTTAATAAGCAACCTTGATGTAACGTGACTACAGTCATTGTAAACTCCAAACATAAGTGAATACGCTACAGTTTCTGTTCTCTTGTGGATGTAGATTTGCCACAATGGTGTTGAATCACATAAATTCTTGTGTTCAGAGCAGATATTTTGATCCTGATGGGTTGTTCAAAAACGTAAGCCAGGGAAATTGTTGTTCAATCCGTTTGCAAAGTTCAGTTTATTTCAGCTTTGTGTGACTCTCATTAAAACAGTTGTATCTTTCAAACCGTAACTCAGCGTTGTGCCAACCTATTTTTTCAGCTTAGCCAGAACTCAGAGGGC